TAGTAATAGTCTTCTTCAAGATTTAATATTTTATGAAAATATTCTTGAAGACTTTTTATATTTTATGAAAATATTCTACCTAATATTATTATTTTATACTAAAATGTTTAATATAAATATGGACATATTTAATGTTAAAATTTAGCTAAGTTTTTGGCTAAATTCTTCCAAAGAGAAAAACATTCAAAGAGTTGGGTGATAAAACAAGAAAGAGTTCTTGTAAAATTTCCTTATATATATATTCTATAATTATTGAAAAACCGAGTAGTTTCTACTAGCGAAGAAACTATAGTCGGAACCAAAGTTCAAAAGGTGGATACGATTAGAGGGAAGACATTTGGATTCTTAAAGCGTAACCATAAGAAGTGATCGTTACCAAACCGGGAATTGATTTCCTCATACATCGTCGGTTTTGATGGAGTTCAAGGACAAAGGTAATTTTTATAAATTACATATCAAATCAAAATTAGTAAAAGTTTCTAGATTTTAAATGATGCTTATATGTTATCTCGTTATACTTATGTACGGAATAAGTATTTAAGATATATACTTATAAAATTTTAAATTTTGCTGCAAACTCTGTTCCGTACAATATATCGAACCCAACAAAACGCTCCCACCAGTGCATCCTCGGACCAATCTCGCACGCGGCAAGCAAGGCGTTCAAACTCCTTGATGTATTCGCGCAAGTTGCTTGTCCGGCGTATTCGTGCGAGAGCTTCGTTGTAGTTATGATAATCGGACGTACCAAAGCGTGTGAGCAATTTCCTCTCAAAATCAGCCCATGTATTGATCTGTCGCCGCTTACAATAGATCCTTGAGAGCCATTGCCACCATACGTTGGCCTCACCATCCAAATAGAATGCTGCGTACCTTACTTGATCATGGCCTTCGGTTTCGTTGAGTTCGAAGTATTGTGCAATTCGATTGAGCCGGGCCTTCGGATCACTACCCATGAATGTGGACATCACAAATCTGGGCTTGTCGGGCTTTGGCCACTCTCGGTAATTGGATGTTTGCAATCGCCGGTCGTACTCGTCCTTGTATTCGTAACCTTCGCGTCGCCGGTCCTCGTCATGTTCGCGCGCGCGCCGATCCTCGCGCTGTGGTGAGGGCGTGAGCTCGACGTGCTCGGCATGTCGGTGGTGTTCGCGCCTTGGAGGGTCGTCGCGATGCTGTGGGGGTTTCTGCTGGAACGCGCGCAAGACTTTCTCTAATCGCTGATCGAGTCGTGTGACGGCGGCGTTGGTGTTGCTTTGACCTTCGTCGAGCGATCCAAGCCTTCCTTCCATAACCTCGCTCATACTTCGCATCTGAATGTCAAGATTATCAATTTTATCCTTCATATCCTTGTTGGCCATGGGTTTTCTTTCCTCTCTTCGCTCTTTGCTTTGTGGACTCGTGATTGAAGATGAGTATGATGATGAACGATTTTTTATTTTTATTTTTTTATAGGTACGAAAAATAAAAGGGAAGGAAAGAAAAGGGAATGGGGTAGGGAAAAACACACGATCAACACCTCTCAATGAAAGCACCAATGATGAGGATCGTGTGTTTCGATTGCCGATAAGCCGCTAACCCGCGCCTTGAATCGCCGATAGTGTTTCTCTAGCTACAACCGCGCCTATTGAAACGAATAAAATTATAATAGAATTTTGGTGAAAATCTAAAGCAAAGTGGAAGAACAAAAGTTCTGGATTTCTATTAATCTTGAATTATGAAAAATAACATGGGGTAAGGGCCTTTATATAGGCACAAGATTTGTCTAACTCTAATCTACCTAGGAAACTAAATAAGCAATAAAATATTAAGTATCCTAATTAAGCTAGATATCATTGTGCAAGATGGAAACTAAATAACTTGGCTTGCACTCCAAAGGATCTCTCTCTATGTCTCTCGCACGTCCGCCGCCTCACACCAACCGCCCCTACACGTCGCCTAATCCATGCGGCAGTAGGGCGCTCCGCCATTCGCGCGTGTGTTGGTGCTCAGCGTGACGCACACGCTTGCGCCTTCTGCGTCCATCCCGCGCGCGTGGTCCTTCACTTCTCCGCATGCCTCAAGGACTACGATCTCCCATTCTGCGCGTGCTCCCTTGTCGCCCGCGTTTCTCACGCGCTGCTCCTTTGTGCC